GACAAAATGTTGCGACGCATGAAGTTGCCGTGGATGGGTTAATTGCAATCACTGATTTTGATATAAGTTATTTTCAATTTTGTGCAAGTGATTGGCGATCTTCCACACGACTCATAATGGACGCCTTCATTTCGAAGGCCTAAAACGGAGTTCATCGACCTGCGCCATGACGACCAACGATCAACGTCGACGTCAACGTGACCAGTCCAAGCACAATCGCGGTTCCATTGGATAGAATGTGCTACATAAATCAGGCCCAGGAGGAGATTTCAATTAAGCGCAAAATTTAAACCAAAACGCGGTAAGGAACTCGCCTGAATTGGAACCTTGCCGATTTCTGGAGCTCCTAAGTCAGCTTGTACACCAAGACTGACACACATTTTTGTAGGCCGTATGTCTATTTCAAAGTCCGTGCTCTTGCTGTCATTTTTCTCATCATCACTTGGATTATCATCGGACTCATACAGTAGCTGCTGCGTACGACGGATGAGTTCTTCGTTAAGTACCAACGAAGACAAAAAAGAAGACAGAATGGGTTTCAGTTCGAAGATATCGTTTAAGAAGGTTCTCGCTAAAAACAAAAAGTATGTGTATGTATGTAATCTACAATACTTGTCTCGAACACGTTGATTACTCCACTAACGGAAAGTTTGAATAAATGGCTGAACGACGAAAAAATTAAACCTACACTGTCCATGTAATGAGGTTGGTTTGACCCATGGACTACAGACAAAGCAGTTCTCGTTACGACAATAGTACCAGTGAGAGATCAGCTTCCAAGCATACGGACATTTTTCATCTGAACAATAACACAAACGAGCTCGTTAGTCGACCTAAAAGATTAGGCGCTAAAATAAGTGAACAATAAATGCTAGGATTACCATTAGATATGCATTCTTTGGGCAGCTCTGGAGATTTGCCACATGCCTTATGACTGGTCATGTAAGTTTGTTAATCGCAAAAGCCTGTCAATTCATGCGATTGCTGTGGGTCATGGCTTGAACCGCAGCCTGGGAACTTCGCAACAAGCCCTTCGGGCCCCTACTTTTTAGGATTACTCACCTAAATCGTTAGTAAGCCGGGTGTGTATCTTGGTGTACGTGGGTATCGGTGTGTGTCGGTGGGTGTGACGATGTGTGTCGATGTATGTGTGTGTGTGTCGATGTGTGTATCGGTGAGTGCGTCATTGTGTTTGTCGGCATGTGTCTCGGTTTGTGTGCTTGTGTAACCGGAAATTCATGACTCCTGTTCCCGTGGGCTTTGTTTGAAGTGTAGACGGCACGATAAGAAGAGTGATGGCAGCTGACACGAATCCACATACAGGCTACTTTCAGAGTCCGCTGACGGGCCTTTCGAGCGCCCGCGTCCGACTAACGGCGGCGCTGGCCACTTGTTGACGATGCTGGCGCGTGATCCATTGGCGTTCTGTGTTCTTAACACATCGCCAGCAACACCGTCGGTCGGAAAGCGGCGACAGACGGCGCTACTGGCTATGTGTTGAAGGGAGCAGCGCGTGCGCGAAAATTATATCGTCGGAGTTAGAGCGTTCGGATTTGGGAGGAAATAGAGATACCGACAGTATAGGGACACTGATGGCAGGAAAACTTGAAAGAGGCACAGCATTTACGCCCATAATGGGCGGGGCGTTCTTAAAGTGCATAAATTCTGTTCTCCTACACCAGTGCATGCGATTCGGAAGAGATGCGGGCGGCATGTAAAATTTAACACGAAAGAGAGGAGGGCCCAGCGTTAACGGAATAACCCCAACGGTCAGTAGTACAAGCGAGTTCCGTCGCGATCCCAAATGAACCTTTTCTGATGAGAAATGAGTTCCGAGCTCTACTTCATCCAGAAGCTTCTTCTGTATTACTGGTGGGATACAAGAGGATTAGGGACTCCATTGTGGAACCGCCTAGTTCAAAAGAAAAAACCGGGTCTGCTTCGAAAACTGAACTGAACTGAACAATTTATTCTCATCCCACAGCTCCTGCGTTGACGTAGTATCTACTCCTCCGCCCTCTAGAATAGCAGAGCATCTAATCAATCGTTTGCAGTACAATGTATGTAGATAACAGTGGGGCATACCGCGTTGAATAAATGCGACTGAGAAAACCAAAAAAAGTAAAATCCAAAAATGTACCCAGGAGATTCTGGAATTTTTGTGAAAACCTCATGGTATCTATGTGTATGACCTAATCTTTGACCATGACCGTGACCACATTTTCGATTTATCAGCAAGCAAGACTGATCAAGAAGAAGCCTAATTTATGAACAGCGTTTACTCTCAAAGAGGCAGTTCATTTCAAGAACCCTAAAAGACGATCAGACAATTTCGTAATGCTCATAATCATGACTTTATGCGATCTAAACAATGGCTTCTAAAATGCAATGAAATTACTCATAGACAACGATCGACTACACGAAAATCATGTGTTTGCAGCATTAAGAAAAAAACTGAAGGAATATTGCTTATTACCATTTACGACTAAATGGGATCTCACCTTTACAATCTTTTCGACCGAGACAGTGATGCATGTGAGTCCAACGATATGACAGTCTTAGGCATGGCACAATTTTATCGCACCACAAGGGATGGTCGGGGCGAAGATACTTGAAATTGCGGTTCGTTAAAGTCTGATATCAATCAAATCGAGAAGACAACATACCACACATGGAATGTGCGATCGTAGAGCATGAATGAGATCGCCGAGGTAGTCGCGTATCGCTTCTTTGGTCCCAAATTTCTTCAAGCACCGTGGTAGCGAAGTATTTCCTGGAAATTTCAACTAGAGAAGCTTACTGTTACTGAACTTACTGAGAAGATATTATTCATTTTTGATGATAAAAACGTCATTCACCTAGAACCACTGCACAAGTTTTCATTGGCCATGTTAGCATCTAATAATAAACAAACGATCAGCGATACAATAGGGGATATTCTAGACCAACATCGCAGTACTTATTTGACCATTAGGCTCCTCGGTAACACATCCCCAGAATCTTTCTTTCCCTTGATTTGAAAGGCGTTTGCCAACAAGACGAATAACGTAACAACAAAGGAAGAGTAGTAGGACAATAAAGAGGACTTCCTTTCTGAATATCCTTCATGGGCAGTTGATTTGGTGAAGGGGAACACCACAGGCGACAGTTTCTAACATCTTGCACCATGCTCACAACATTATTATCATTATGAATACTTGATATATATATATATATATATATATATATATATATATCAGAGAACGAATTTCTTTCCAAGAGGACAAATCTGAGTAAGTCACAAAATCTTACTATATATAATCCACAAGTTTAGTGTGTCTGTTTGTATGTATGTATGTTTGTTTGTATGTATGTCTGTGTGTCACGCTATCCGATTTACCTAAAAAAAACACCTTTAGAGGTCGGGACAGGTTTGGGATGGGTAGGGCCTGAGACAGGATTAACAGAGCACATACAATCTCTGCGGAGCTCCGTCCACGGGGGACGGGGCAAGTGCCGGAATCAGCGGTGCCAAGAGCTAAACACCTTACTTCGGCCTCGAGGAATTCCAGACACCGGGAAAAAATGAGCAAAGGTAAGGATTGGGTGAACAAAGCAGTTGGAGAAGACTCACGTGCTGTGGGGAAAGCTTTCCCAAAATGGGCGGTACTTTTCAGATGTACTCATAACTCGATTCAGTTAAGTTGCAGAGGCCAGGGGAAAAATAAAAAGAGTGAGCAGGGCGTTATGCGCGCTGGGCATGCGTAAGTTTAGCGAAGCCCCACCCACGATGGGCGGGGCATGCGTTGAGACGAAAGCCTTTTTTCAAAAATGAATGCAACTTCACTTGGAAACGTTCTAAAATGCGGGAAAAAGTGGTAAGAGGTAATGGAATGAATGTGGTCAAAACCCAGAAGTGGGCGGGGTTGGCACTAGAGTGGGCACTAGAGCGGGCGGAGCTTAGATCGAAAATTTGTGACTCTGTTAAGAAACGTTCTGGAATGCGGCAAAAAGGGTTAAGGTGTAAAAGAACAAATGTGGTCAAATCCCAGAACTGGGCGGGGTTGGCACCAAAGTG